ATATATATATATACTTGTTGAATTTTTGTCATTATTGTTAGAGCTAAAGCAAGGCTAGCCTTCATTAGTTGTACTTTTACACTAGCTAAAAGTTTCACATACAATAGGGGGACTATTGTCCTAGCCTAAACACCATCATCTTGCCTAGTCTAATCTTAGGCCTACTCTACCTCCTCGTTCGATTCAGGCTCCGTGGCGTTGTTGCCCCAGAATCCGTCTGCTTGGATGTCATCGTCTACCTCTACCTCGTGTCTCAGCTGGCTTCTCCGGTGCGCCATCGCCATATGGTCTTCGCTCCCGTCAAGGGCATTGCTGATGCCGCACGTGAGGAAGGCTTTCTTAATTAGGTCGGCGGGCATGGCCTTCCACGCCCGTGAAATCCACTTGAGCACCACTGCCGGGGGTGGTTTCTCGATGTTCCTTGCACCATAGGAAAGGGATCGGGGAACACATTAGTCCACAAGCAGGCAGACAAGCACAAGAAGGGGAGACGGGAGGACATGCCGTCGCTCACCTGCAGGTGTCAGAATGTTCATGTCGTCCGCCTCAAACCAGGATTGGTACTGCTGGCGAACACTCGCTTTGAAGCTCTTGTTTACCGACATATCGAGCGGCTGGACGTCTGCCGTGCATCCCGCTGGGATGACCGCCGGCACGATGTTGAGCGCCGCGTATCTCGCCTTGAATTCCTTGGTAAGGTGACCACGGTAGGAGTCGAGTACTAGCATGGCGCTCCGACTCTACACGCCGAATTTCGATTTCAGGAACGGCACCACGCCCTCATCGAGCCACTGGATGACGCCCGTGGCCTCCATCCACCCGTTCGCTTGGTGACCACGACATCTGCACACAAGCAAGCGGTGGTTAATCTCTTTTTTGTTATGAACTCCAAAACACGTACAAGAACATGTGCTTACCGTTCGGGAAGTCACCCTCTGGGAGTGTCTTGCGCTTGAAAAACACCCACGGCTTCAACTTCTTGCCCGTCGCCGTGCACGCCAGCATGACGGTGACTCTTTCTTTCTGGTAACCACCGCTACGAATGGGCACCGACTTTACGCCCGTCTGCTCCACAGTGGTAGTGGCCGGCATCTCCAACCAAAGAGGCGTTTGGTCGGCGTTGATTATGTATCAATTGTCGATTGCGTACTCGTTGCGTGTGTCGCGGACGAACTGCCAAAATTCTTTGCACTTCGTCGCCACGTCTGCGCACGGGGAGGGAAGGACAGATAGGAAGAAGGATGAGTATCGCAATAAGATAAAGATATTCACATGGGAGCAACAACTCTTAAACTACGCGAATTTGCACGAGGTAAGCGAAAAATGAGGCACTTACACTCCTGTGTTTTCTGCGCCACCTTATTTTTCATGCGCACGCTGAGGTTCCACCGCTTGTGGAACCGCGCCGACCACCGCTGACTCCCTTTCCACTTGACTTTCGAGAACAGCACCTTCATCACCTTGCGTGACCAATCTTGGAGCCGGCCGACTGAAACTACAACACCACGGCGTCGCCAGTCGAGGAGTGGAGCGTACACCTTTAGCTCCATGGGTCTGTGTCTGTACCAAGAAGACCTCCCGCGCCCATGAAGTCGGCACCGTGCGGCGTGTGAAGCCTTGAGCTCCTCCGCTTGGGTTTTCCACTCCATCAAGCATTTGCGGTGTATGCCGGACTCCCGTGCGACCTCGCTTATCGATGCCGCCAGCTCCAGCCGCACGAGCCACCTGCGTTTCTCCTGGGTGGTGTAGGACTGCCGTTTATGTTGAGACGGCTTGTGCCTAGGAGAGGGGGGGCGGGCAATCTCGGTTCTGGGAGGAGGGGTGGGGTCGTTCTTTGTTAATCGGCGTATACGTCGGTATCGGCATCTTCTCGCGTGGTGCGTCGGGCCACCATGACTCCACACCGTCATTGTTCTCGGCAGTTACACCACGATCTGGGAACACGTCCTCCTCGGCGCCCGCATCACCGTCGTCGTCGCCGCTGTTTCGTTTATCGGCGGCCACGTCATCGTCGGCACCCAAAGCCGACTCGTCCCACGTGCAGGCTTGAGGCTGTCCCCACTGTGGTGCAGGCAGCGGAGTTTGGATGAACACATCGGGGGCCTTGGGTGTGTCCGGTTCAGACAGCCACTCGTTGAAATTGGCTGGTAAATACAGCTGGAGCACGGGCCGTTGGTGAGCACTGGCACCGATATCAGGCGGATTCGGAGGAGCGGGAGGAACGGGAGGAGCAAGAGGAGTAGGAGGTGCAGGATTAGCAGGAGGTGCAGGATTAGCAGGAGGTGCAGGAGGAGCAGAGGGCGCAGGGGGTTCAGGTGGCATTAGAGGCGCTGCTGGCTCACGGGTATACCACTCGTCGTCGGTAAGTCGCCACGGGCGAGCTGGTTTTTTCTAAAAGAGGAAGTGCGTCCCGCTGAATTCTGCCATGGCTTTGCCAGCCAGGCGGCCTAGACTGGAATCTGAATGAAAGAAAATGAGAAAGAGGGTGCACAAATGGGCAACGAAGGGGACCCCGTAAGGTTGGCGCCTCGGGGTCCTTGTCAATGACAGGCGGGAAAACCCTGTCAGGCGTCCACTGGTGATCCCCGATTGATCCTAGGGAAGGGTTACAAGCTCGTTGTCCTGGGGGGTTATGGGCGCACTGACCCGCTACTTAACAAGCCCTTTTATCCCAATGGTCTATTGGTTGGGATTCTGACATGGTATCAAAGCGAAGGTCTCGGGTTCGAATCCCAGTGTGTGCACTTTGGGCATCCCAGTGGGGGGGGGGGGGGGTGTCAGAGGTCCACTAGTGATCCCCGATTGATCCTAGGGAAGGGTTACAGACTCGTTGTCCTGGGGGGTTATGGGTGCACTGACCCGCTACTTAACAAGCCATTTTATCCCAATGGTCTAGTGGTTGGGATTCTGACAACCCCCGCCTACCCCCGTAGAGGACCCTGCGTGGCAGCATAAACGTTGCGTTGGCAGGGAATCTTCCCCACCCTACGAGAGGGTTCGGAAGAAATGCACATGCCACGCAGCGCATGCGGCTGTGATTGGGCCGCACGGCAACATCCCCGTCACTGCTGTTGCGTTCGATGGTTCTAGACAAAACAGTGTGGTGGGAAACCGAACCGCTGCTGTTTTTGCCTGAAAACCTTGCACGACCCCACGTGTTGCATGGTCGGTTGAATTCGCCTGATTGCGGGCTTCAATTTAGTATGTTTAAAAGTGAATTTTATTTTTTTCCTATTACAGGCGCATGCGCCTATAAAAATGACTCAATTAGAAGCGCACCCCCCTAAAAAACAGTGTTTTATTATAAGCGCACCTGCACTTCTATCCGGGGTAGTACGGTAGCTGTTATGTATTGGAGAAACAAGATTTTGCCGCCCCTGCACTTCGCACACAAGGAGCAACAAGGGGAGAATGTTGGCGACAACGTCAAGGCTTGGCGAAATATTCCGAAAGTTCCGCAGCCAATCAAATTTCAGCCAAATTCTCTTCACAGTTCGAGATTACTTTCGGGTTGAAGCGGTGGTCTTTTCTACATGTTTCTACACAACAAAACCCAGCTAATATATTCGAAAATTACAGCTAACTCCTATGCATGCACACACCAGGCCCCAAATTATCAGGGTAAAATACACTGTTTGCCCTGATGAGCGGCCACTTTTTCCCGGTTACCCTTTCAGAAACAGGGTATGAGAATTTTTACCCTAGAGCAAAAAGGCTATGAAATATTTTACCCTGGTGCCAGTTTCAATTACACTTCTTGATCAAGGTGCGTTTTTTCTATACCCTGTTACCAGATCTTTTTTACCGAGGATTCAGACACAGGTAATGTGCGGACAAAAAGGCTCAGTGGCCCACGGTTTCACTTGTCGCATTGGTCCACATGTGCAACATTGAAAATTCTGGTCGGCGGGCCGCCAATGCATACGGAATTGCTGTCTAATCATACCAGTCCCACTGCCATATCTATCAAGTAGCGCGCCACCACAGCTTCGGGTTGTCATGCCGCTCATGCCGAGCCGAGGCCTGCTACCGCAAGAAAAAATGCATATACCGTATGGCCCCGAATATAGGCGCCGTCCGATTAAAGGCGCCGGCGCTTCTATCTGGAGCATGGCGCTTATGGCCGGAATTCGATTATAAGCGCCCCCCCTGTAAAACACGGACATATTATAAGCGCATGCGAGTTCTATTTTTCAATGCTGATTAAAACGGTAACGAATTTCAAATTTCTAGCGAGGCAACACCCCCATTTTCACTTTGTTTAACTTTCGAGGACCTACTGGTTGCGCGTCTAGTCAGTATGAGTTGGCACGCGGGCAAAATGACGTGCCAAAGCTCTGTGCACTGTCAGAAAATCGCCCTCGCGCGATTCTGATTCTGGACCCTGTAAAATTCCAATTTGATTCAACTTACGAGACTGAGATGTACAATTTGGTGCGTTTAAGTTGTATTTCTGTATTTGTCGTTATATAAGCGCCGGCGCTTATGGCCGATATTCAATTACAAGCGCCCCCCTTAAAAAAACTGATTTTATTATAAGCGCATATGCGCTACTATCCGGGGTAATACGGTAAATCAGTGTATCAGGAAAGTTACACTGACTGAATCAGTGTACTGGAATTTTTAGGCTGTTGCCAGCAGTGTATAAAATTTTTTACCCTAAGGGTCAGGGTACACTAGGCCAGATACCCTGATACGACAGGGTGACCCAAAACCAATTTTGGGCCCTGGCACACACCTCTACATGGCATTGGATTGTGTCCATGTTCCCAAGGGAGTTGCTTTGTCTAGCAGCCAACGGTATTTCTTACACTGATGAAATAGGCACTGAACCCCACTCCGGTGGACTCCGGGCTGGGGCAAAAAAAGGATGAATGTGTTCATAGCCGTGGTTTATATTTTTTAGTTCGCACTCACCGCTCGTGATGACCAACAACCTAGCACAGGTCCTTATTGACAAATTATACCACCATAACTACTTGAGCAACCTGAAGCACCGCCTACCTAACCTGACGTAGTCTCCTTTTCTTTGTTGAAGGACCATGTACATCCTCAGAAGCACCCCCAGTCACCCCTTTTGCATCCGCTCTCCCTCCCTTCTCACCTCCTCCCCCCTTCCCCACCACTTCCCCCAGCTGACTGATCTCCGTGGCGCCATACTGCAGCGGCACGTTCGACACATCCGCCACCGTCTCTTCCTCTTTCAGCCCGCCCGGCGCAGCAGCCGCCTGCTTCACCTCGTTCACCATCGCTAGCAGCTCCTCTTTGTACTTCTGCCGTGCCGCCTCCCTGCGCTTGCGCCGCTCGGCAATCACGCGCAGCACGGCGGGGTCTGACTCGTTCACGGCTGCCCGCGGGTCCGGTGCATCTAGCGCCTCCTCCTCGCTCAGAATCTCCTCCTCTGCTGCTGCCACTGCTGCTTCCTCCTCCTCCTGCGCTGCCACTGGGGGTTTGGGGCGAGGGAGAAGTGGGGAGATGGAGGGGGGGGGGGAAGATAGGAAAGGGAAGGGATAGGGAAAACTCACCACTGAGTGACTGGCTTTAATGTGCTGCAATTGCTGCTTTCTCTGCATCCTGCGCACGTCTCAGGGCTGTTTGGGAGGGAGGGAACGACGGGGAAAGTGGCGAAAAGAAGAGAACATGCATTGGGAAAGAAGCTTGGAATGAAGGTATGCAGAGGTGGGTAAATAAAAAAAGGTTAGTCTCTATGGCTGATAGGACACAAACAACGATGAGACATACAGGCAGGGTGGAAATTTGAAGGGCTCTGGGGAAGCGTGGCGGGAGGGAGAGAAATGAAGAAATGGATGATATCTGCGACTTTGAGGAAAACAGGTGGCGGGCCAGGCTGGGATTCTAACGAGGCGGAGGGAGAGGCCAGTGCGGAGAAACGGGTAAGGACTGTGCTTAAGAGCACCTGTGCATGACAGCCCATGCAGCGTTAGAACGGGCATTGTTTACGCATGCCCACACCCTCCCTTCCCATGCACGCACCCCGTGTAACGTTCAGTTGTGGCTAACCGAACTTTAGGTCCAGCGGCCGACTTTAGTAAGCGGGATCATGCCATTACATGCAGACTTTCCAACCAACGCGCAACCTCACACTCACTCTGCCCAGATCAACCCCCTCCGTTTTTTTCTCCCCGCCCAGATCACTCCAATCTTCTTTTTCTGTGCGACGCCCGGGGAGAGCAGGAGGGAATGGGGAGGCTGCGCCGACTGCAGCCAGCTGCGCCACAGCCGTGCGCGCTTTCCTTCCGACCAAACCCCCCGACACTCGCATACACATCCACGCCCTCCCCTTTCAATCTCCCCGCTCCATTCCCCCGCACCCCCCCCACGCATACCCGTGAGGGCGTCAGCGGCGGCTCTGTTGGAGCGGGCGAACGAGTCGAGCAGCGACGAGGGCGCGGCGGCGAGCCCTGTGCTGCCGACGTAGTAGCCCGCCGCCACCAGCGCGAGCGCCGTCACCACCATCACCGCCACCTGCGACGACTGCGACGAATGCGACGAATGCGACGAATGCGACGACTGCCCTGCCATGGTCACTCCGTTGAGCACGAATGCGGCTATGGCTTTAAACGAGGATAAATGGCGGAGCTTATCTGCGGCGCACCTAGAAAAGCGGCCGCGATGCCGTATGCATCGCCGGCGACCGCACTAGCGACGATAGCAATAGCCCTGGGGTCGGCGCACTAGCGGGAGACTGAGAGCTGCAAACACTTTGCGGAAACAGTCTAGCGTCGCACGAATAGCTTCCGGAATTAGTCTAGCGACACACAATTCGAAGCTTCTGGTTGTGGAAAAATGTTGGAATCTAGGTTGGTGGGTGGCTGGAGGTCGGTTGGAACAGACTATGGCAGGTTTCTAGGGAGGGGTGGGGAGACCTCGGGGGGGAATTATTTGGGGAGAATATGCCACTCGTAATCAACAAGGGTCTCGATAATATTATAATTTTTAAACACACATTGTGTTTTTTAAAATTGTGTATTGTGAAAGCGAAGCTGCTTGTACTGCACAATTGGCATCGTCGAAGCGCGCTAAACGCCCTTCTCCAACTACAAAAACCGTGGGTTGGAGCTCATTTCCCTCCACCCACGTTTCTCTATTTCAAACGGCTCACTCAACATTTCCGCTCACGTAGTCTTTCTCTCCTTCCAAGCTGGCTAGAACAAAATCGCTTCCTAGAGGCGAGTCACCCTCGACTTTACTTAGCGACATTTTTAACTTCAATCGATCAACGATGGCACCGACGACGACACTTAACAACGGGAACTCGTCCAACCCCGCTTCCGACTCCGACCGTAACACCCGCGATTTTGCGGGCGACCGCCGTAACAAGCGCCGGGCAGAAGATGGACCGCCCGCCCCGACTGCAGTGGACGTGCTGCTGGGCGGGCTCGAGGTCAACAAAAGTGCCGACGCCCAGCAGCACCCTTCGGCCCCTGTGGCGCCAGTGGCGCCTGTGGCACCTGCGGCGCAAGTGGCGACGGCAGCTGGCGCGGCACACGCACCTGACGCCGAGCACACGCCAGCACCCGCGGCTGGACCGTCGCGTCAGCGCCAGAGGAGGCGGACTGCGGTCTCCTCGTCTGACGCGACGACCGCCCATGCACTGACGCAGGCGTTGACCCCGGACCAGGTCAACGCGCTACTATCCCTTCTACAGCAGCAGCCCGTCAGCGTTACAGCTGCGGAAACTGCACTACCCGCTGCATCTGCGTCGGCTAAAAAAGAAAACGCGAAAAAGGAAAAAGGCACGCGAGGAGCACGTACGAACCGGCATGACAACGACGCAGCGACAGCCGCTCCCCCTGCTCCGGCGGTCGACAACGACACCGACGACTCTGAAGATGAAGCTGGTGAGGCTCCAGTCAACACTGCTAATTTTATTGGCACGGAAAACCTCCCCCCCCTTCCTTCTTCTAACCTCACCTTTTCAGCGGCGACTTTCGTCAACGACTCCGTGCGAGAGCAAGCGGAGCTGCTGGAGGACTTGCGTGCGTACCTGCTGCACGCGGAATACAAGGCGCAGCGAGGCGACTCGGCGGGCGGACTCGAACTCATCTCACACGCGCTCAACCTCATCTCGGGGCGTTTCGAGGTGCTTCAAGTGGAGGACGCTTCCGACTTCCGCACGGCGAAACGCTTCAAACTGTACCAGCAGAAGAGCCTGCTGACCTCTCGACCCTTCAAGCAGGCCGTCGCGGATATGGCTGCAATGGACCGCGCGGCAAGTGCATACGCTCGTGTCACCCGCGGCGGAAACAACGGGCCGATGCCGTTCTTACCCAAGCGGGCCCCCCCGCCCACGGCCAATTGTCGTGGGTTTCGGGGCTCGTGCTTCCGCTGCGGCCAGCCGGGACATGTGGCAAGTGCCTGCCCTAGGAACGGGCATGGCGGCCAAGGACCCGCTCCGGTGGTGTAGGAGCGGGCCAAGGGATTAGGCGCCTTGGGCGCTAGGCACGGTGCACTCTTGAGTGCGGAAACCGTGGGCAGCCCTAGGGGTTTGCGATGGCAAGAGGCCAGCCCTAGTGAAGGGTAGTAATAGGCTTTGGGCCTAGGATAGGGAAGGGGAACAACAACCCCTCGGTCCCATGTATTTGGGCACCCGGTGGGGTGATGAATGCTAGGAAGCATTGCAATGTGTGTTGGTTGATTTAATAAAAAGTTCATTGATTTACTATTTTGCAAAGAGCCTCTAGACACACAGAGGAGGTGCAGAGCATGAGAGAGAGAGAGGAAGAGAGAGAGAGAGAGAGAGAGAGAGAGAGAGAGAGAGAGAGAGAGAGAGAGAGAGAACAAGACAAAGCACGGTGGACACGCATGTCCATGGTTCAAAGCACCAGCCCACATGCACTAAAGGCATGCACAACCACGTCTTACCAAGTGGATGACAAGGCGAGCAAAAAAAAAAAAAAAAAAAAAAAAAGCGCGATGTGATGTATCGGAAAAAGGGCTAGCCACGGTGCTAGATGAGACAAAAAAAAAAAAAAAAAAAAAAAAAAAGAGGAGGGGGTCCAGAGAGTGACACCTACTTGCCTATCATAATCAGGGTGCCCATGGAGCAAAAAAAAAAAAAAAAAAAAAAAAAAACCAAGAAGAAGAAGAAGAAGAAGAAGAAGCCTCGGCGCGCGCACGACATATTTGTTGTCCTTTCGATAGATAGGCAATCTCATTCACACCATTTATCAACGATTGCGCGTACATGCACACGCACATGCATGCGTCAAATGGAACTCCCAACCCTACCCCATTTGCCTCAATTACAGGAGCACGACAGTGCGAGGCGGTATGTTACGACGATCCGTATGAATTTGCCGTCACGGACAAAACCATTACACAAATGCGCGGTCGACTTCGTGCGACCTTTGCGTGGTGGAGCTCCTGGTGTCCCTGCAGCCTCGTCCTTTCCGTCATCGCCAGGGGTTATTGGCTACCATGGAGCCACGGCCCACCACAACCCTTCCACGATCGCAACCATGTCGGGGCAAACACGCATGCTACGTTCACGCGTACCGCTATCCAAGAACTCCTAGAGACCGGAGCAGCAGTCCAGATGCCCGCAACGGAGCTGACGTGTATAAGTCCACTCAATGTGGTCGAGCAAAAAGACAAATGCAGACTCATTCTTGATCTGCGGAAAGTCAACGCAAGCTTAATCGTCCCCAAGTTCAAGTACGAGGGGCTCAACCGCGTGGCGGACCTGGCACGCGTTGGGGATTGGATGTTCTCCATTGACCTTAAATCCGGTTACCACCACATCGACATCCACCCATCATGCTGGAAGTTCCTCGGCTTCGAATTTGGGAGGCGCACGTACGCATTTCGTTCACTGCCATTTGGCCTCGCGACAGCTCCATTCGTCTTCACGCAGCTCATCAAGCAACTGGCTCGGCGCTGGCGAGAACAAGGCATCCGAGTCATCCCTTACGTGGACGACATCTTATTCCTCTGTCAGTCGAAAGACCATGCGCAAGCGATCTGCCAGCGTGTGATATTGAACCTTAAAGAGGCAGGACTCGTGATAAACGCGAAGAAATCACAGCTGTCACCATCGCAACGCCTACGATTTTTGGGTGTAGAGCTGGAAACCGATACCGGTCGATTCTCCATCGGTCCCGACCGACGAGCCTCACTACATGCAACCATCCAAAACCTCCTGAGCGCAAGCAAGGCATGCCGACCAGTCCCGGTCCGCCACGTGGCCAGAATCACAGGCATGCTCGCATCAATGGGGGTCGCACTTGGCGCGACCGCTCGCGCATTCAGCCACGCCATGTTACAAGTAATCAACGACGCACCGTCATGGAAAAGCAACGTGGTCATCCCCCCAGCCGCAGCAGAGGAGCTACACTTTTGGCTTGAGGAGTTCGACCGGTTCAACGGTGCACCTTTCCACGTCCGGAACAGCTACGATGCGGTAATTCATGTGGATGCCAGCTCTCATGGTTGGGGCGCCACTCTAACTACATTTCCGGGTGGCCTCGAAGAAGCGAGCGCAACCATGTCAGAGCCACTACAGGCAACGTCCAGCACGCGGCGGGAGATCGAAGGCGTCCTTTGGGCGCTCCAAACTTACGCCAACAAGATCAAGCAAAAACACGTTCTAGTGCGGGTGGACAACCAGGGCGTATTCTTCATCCTTCGCAAAGGCGGCTCTCACAGCTCTGACCTCACAATGGCTTGCAAAAGCATCATCCGAACATGCATGGGGCTCGGCACGCGCTTGATCATTGAATGGATCCCGCGAGAGCTCAACTCACATGCTGACGAGCTTTCAAAAATGGTCGACCACGACGACTACGCGTTGAAGAAGCCGTGGTTTCGCATCTTAGAACGTCGTTGGGGTCCGCATTCCATCGACCTCTTTGCAAACTCTCACAACACCCAACTCTCGCGCTTTTGCACCAAGATCCCCCACCCGGAAGCCATCGCAGTTGATGCGTTCTCGATCGCATGGACAGCCGAAAACAACTTCGCCTTCCCCCCACCCCAACTGGTCCCAGCCGTCCTCCACCATGCACAACGCACCCATGCATCACTCACATTAATAGTCCCGCACTGGCCAGGCGCAAGTTGGTGGCCACTTTTGCAACCCTCCCTATGTACTTGGGCTCCACACATCCACGCGCACATCCCTCTCACACACGGAACCCAATGCCTAGATACAGGGTCCCATTCTACTGCCTTCTCGGGCACGGGACTACCGCATAGCCCAATCATTGCACTGCGAGTGGTATTTGACTAATGCATATTGTCCACTCCTGTGTTCAGATTTTC